CACGTTTTAAAGATATTTTATGTCTCGATTTTAAACATAAAATGATTTTTGCATGCTGTCTAGATTGTAATAGATTTATAACATATTTTATCTACCTATATGATAAAAACTTATTATTCACGACTTTTTAGGTGCTTTACTGTGAATATAGATATATCAGCGCAATGATTTGTGCAGAATTAGTCATAAATAAAATATCTAATAATTTTACTTTACTGAAAAAAAAAGATAAACGATAAGCACATAGACTGTATATACTAAAGTCTGTATAGTAATCATCTAGCATATGACTAATCTGCATCAATGAAGTGTTGAGCGTTCTTTTGATTATGAAAATATTGATTGTAGCACAGCATCTTTAAAACATTCCAAAGGAGTTATTGATATAAAGAATAAATATGTTGATTTTTGTCCTTATAATACATATATTCCAATGTACCGTCGTATATTCGCAAGATTATAACATGAAAGCATTTAATTTAATTTTGTACAGAGATGATTAATAGATAACATATATACTTCGTAAGAAAACTTGAATATCTCAGTGTCACATAAAATATACTGAGATATATATTCGAGAACATTTCTCGCGAATTCGTTGCTCGACATAAGAATGGATTTTATGCATCATTCCATCAACAAAACGCCATCTAGTAAATGTTAATATTGAATAACAAGTGAATATAGGAGAAGACAAGTAAGTTTTAACAATTCCATAAGTCCAATTATAAAAATATCGAAGATATACACATATATATATATATATATATATAACTATTATGAAAACAATTATAAACTTACAGTTATTAGAATGTATGTTTTAATTATTAATTTGTTATTTAATTTTTAATAATATGCTTTGTTATAAGTCATTATGAAAAATATATTATAATTTGAAAAATTACTATTTTAATAAAAACCTGTAATATATAATTATGCGGCTCAGAAGAATTGTAGGTGTATGTAACTACAAATTTTTTTGTTTTGATAAAGTACGAACTCTACTATTTTAAAATATTTTATACTTTATATTATGTCTCTATTAGATTATAAAAAAATTTTTTTAACACTAAATGCACAGAAATTAAAAGAAATTGCTAATAAAAGATAGATTCTAAATAATTTGTTAGAAGAAAAAGCAGTAATAATTTTTATTAGTTAGTTTAGTTTTAATTTTTTATTTTAATATTAGAAATTACATATAAGGTTCTTATGATTTAGTATAATATTTACTATAAGTTTATTAAGTAACATTCTATTATACTTAATAAACATAAAGCATAATACATAATTTATAGCGTTTTTGGCCCGATCAGGTTTGCACCAACCTTGGTTGAATTAATCTTTCCTATTGGTTGACGTCGCACGCTCTACCAATAGGAGAGCACAAAACTCCAATGATCCAACCCAGGTTGGTGCAAACCCGATCGGGCCGAAAACGCTATTAGTTTTACTTTTATGGGTAATTGTGCCATTATTACAAATAAATTTCCAGTACATTTTATGACAAATTACAGAAATATAATTCTTTTTATTATTAAAAATAACTCAGTCAAAAAATTGTTAATATCGGCAAAAATTATTTAATAAAAAATTTAATAGTTAAATAAGACTTAAATACGTATTTGTAAGCTGTAAGTATAAGTTTAAGAAGTGAGATTATTTTTACAGGTATCAAAGAATTAATTAATATACGATACAGATATATACATATACAAATTTACTGATATAAAAAATTCAGTTTAATAACGAGAAATAATAACTGATAGTTAATAAGTTTTAATATTATTACTATTGTATGCGCAGATTTTAACATAAAATTGATGCATTTAATCCTCCTCTTGTGGGTTTTATTAACATAAGTGTTGGTAAATATTTTCCTGTATTCTTATGAACATATGAGCTTTGAACTTTTATAATTCTGAAAATATTTGCATTGGTACCCCAAACACAAATCGATTGTATATGACTTCACAAAAACGAGCTTATAGCTGAGATAAGGAAAAATATTTAACCATATCATAATAATAATACAAATGTTACCACAAAGGAGGATTTATGATACCAATGCGTTATATAGTAGTAATTCTTTCCTAATTTAAAAAAGTGCAGACGGTGTATAATCAAATTATCGTTTAAACACATTTATAAATTTATTTTATCTAGATCACTTAATACAAAATGTCCTTAATCGTCGGTATTAAAGATTTAAGCGATTTATTTGCGTTGTAGCACATAAAAAAGTGCTCACTACCTCGGCTACGTTAAGCAATCTGTATGCAATCGCCACTAAAGAGGTAGATAAGAAATATAATGTAATATGAAATTCTTCTAGTACTTTGTTTTTATGAGTATATAAGAATTCTGTATACAGATTAATAAACAATTAAAAATTTAGAATATAAACATATTATTAAGTCCTTTTTTATAAAACTAGCACATCCCTTTCGCGCGCTACGCGCGCGCTCCTCCATGATACTCTCTTTTTTAGACATTACGAAATATAATATTACGTATCTGAATTCAAAATGTTTGAATAAGAAAAATGACAGAATCGTTATGGCGGTTTGAAAATTTGAAAATTCAAAGTGGTTGAATCAATATGGCGGATGGAATTCTTCAGTTAAGTACCATAAACAATTTTATAATACAATTATTTATTATCGAATGTTAATGTTACTGTGAACGATATGTGGAAGTAATATAGACGTGGCACTTTTGAGAGAACACAAGACACAGCTTTATTTAGCCTGAGATACATACAAAAAGGGGGTGATACAAGCGATCGACGAAGTGTGCATATAGAAAATAAAGCTTCATAGATGGGAGAAACGAAGTTTGTATCCATGCACTCTGGCGATTGGTTGGATCAAGCGTTAATGGAGATGTCGCCACGAATTGGCTGATTTGATTATCTAACACCCCCTCTCAAGAAGCATTTTGTGGCGACCTGAAACAGATATAAAAACAGAACAAACAAACAAAAAATTGCCCCATGACCTCAAGCCCATCTCTTTTATGCACCTATTATGCTTTTCTGAAGTGAGAGCTTTTGTTAAAGCATCAGCTGGCATTTCTTCCGTTGGTTGGTATTCCACCTTTATTATTCCAGCTTCTACGACATCTCTGATGTGGTGATATCTAATATCAATATGTTTGGCCCTTCCATGATGAACTGGATTCCTGGTCATATGGCCTGCACCTTGATTGTCATTATAGATAGTTACTTGTTGGTGAAGTCCCAAAATTTCTTTCAAGAACTTCCTAAGGTGTATCGCCTCCTTGGCGGTTTCAGAGAGTGACATATACTCCGCTTCGGTGCTAGATAGTGCGACAGATTTCTGTTTGCGGAAAGACTAATTGTCGCATTTGCTAACTGGAAGAAATATCCCGTGTAAGAACGCCTGTCATCAGTGTTACCCAGTCGGCATCTGCAAAACCTACTAACTTCATTCCTGTTTTCTCGAAGACGAGTTTTAAGTCTTTCGTTCCTTGTAAGTACCGCAGGACGCGTTTAGCACTTTTCCAATGCTCGGGTCCTGGATTTTCGTTAAACTGGCTTAACAGGCTGACAGCATGCATTATATCTGGATGTGTAGAAGTAGCCACATACATCAGTGAGCCAATCAGGTTTCGATAAGGTATGTTTGACATTTCTTCACGTTCCTCTTCATTTTTAGGACTCATAGCTTTCGTTAACTTCACCGAGGGATTAAGTGGAGTCGGAGCCGGCTTGCAATCTTCCATTTTAAAATTCCGGAGAATTCTTTCGATGAGTTTTCTTTGGCTCATTGAAATACGATTTACCTGACGATCTTGTTAAAATTTGATACCAAGACATTGATTTATTGGCCCAAAGTCTTTCATTTTAAAGATCGACAACTCCCTCTTGATTTTCTTCAGTAAAAACGTCGATGGTAAACGTGATTCAAGTAACATGCATCTTGCCATCTCAACTACGGTTCGGTTGAATCTTTCGGCAACTCCATTTTGTTCAGGAGTATATTAGCATTAAGGGGATGCTAAACCGATTACCCAACTCAATCAAGGTCGATAGTACAGACTCTTTTAATTCCAAATTCGATAATAGTGGTGACATCTTTGATTTAGTTTTTACATTATATTATATAATATATATCATTCTGTCTTACTCAAACGCATACG